AGTAAACACACCAGCAGTAGTTGTTACATGTATATAGTCAGACATGCACTGGCAGTAGTATCATACCTGCGCGCTGCGCAGTCAAAAGTAGCGCACTATAAGTTTGCATCGAACGAACTACATTTATACTGTTCACAATGACTTTGACATCGTCACATATTTATAATTCGTATATACACAATAAATTCATAATTATAATGAATAGCGCATTAATTACGCATTGCAGATAAAGCGTTTAATACAATCGTCAAAAAGAGATCAACTTCTCCCATTTATTCGATTTTGATTTCCAAAATAGTTATGTATGCTACTTATTAAAATTGTTCTAATTGAAGAATAAGAATCCATTGATTTTAATATATTTGGATCGAATTTTAATTTTAGAGAGATATGAGCATTATTGCATCACCGTAGTAATTTCTTCGCGACATTTTGATTGTTTGCTCGAAGTCGTCCGCATTTTATCGAAAAGAAAAAAAAAGTTCTCGACATCATTCTATATGCAATCACGTTGTGGGTATACGAAACTCTGGCAATGTTGAAGGAATGGTAGTCGACCGGTTGCCCGATGACGCGCTTTAGCCATCAGAAGTTTCTGCCATTAGAAGTCGCATGTCGGAACACGATTCCCGGAAAGTGATTTCGAGAATCCCATGTGAAATTATATGAATAGCCACGGTAACTATATAGCATACATCGTATATGCTTCAGTTTATGCTCTTACTTTCATATTATGTGTTCCATTTTCCAATGCGAAATGGAAAATGTGAAAATTATGCATCTTTTATGTAGCGTTAAATATGTTTTTTTTATTAATTCTTCGTAGATTTTTATGTTATAATGGAAAGATTGCACAATGATGGAGCCGAGTTTATGGGCGTTTTCTGGCGTTACGATTTTGGCTTTTATGTGGCTGCTGAAATCAGATCTGCCTTACGTGCGCAAGATAAAACTGAATGAAATCTGAATGACTCTTAATTCTACAATCACCGATAGTATTTCATTCGAACTACTGAAAATGCCAATATGGTGATCTTCTATCTTTATTTTCGGTTAGTAAAAAGTTATTTTAATATTATTATATTGTTAGAATTATTTAAATTCATGTATTTTTTCAATATTCTGTATATTTAATATAAAAAAGTTATTTTGGTATTATTTAACATATCGCTTAGTAAATAATAACTGAATTTGAGTTAAATTTAAGTAATACATTTTAATAAGTTGAATTGTTTAACTTCATTGTTTTAAATTAACGACATATTAAATAGCAGTAGCGATCTTTATGAAAAAATATGATTGAGTCAATAGTTATCATTAGTTCCCAAACAGAATTTAATAAATCAAAAATAGTTATTAATATTCAGTCAGTAAAATTTAATCTTTGGAAAATCTTAATCTTTTCATTTAGAAAGAAATATATTTTAACTGTATATGTTCCATTTTTTTTTTACATTTCTTCTTCTTCTTATCGAAAGTCTATAGATTTGTTTTACCCAATTCGGTTACCCTCTTGGAACGCAGATGATCAACTGTCTTTCCATCTTTTATGCGGGCATCTCGGTTTTTTTATATTTATTGATCAGATATGGATCACTATACTCCACCTACAGAAATAATTAAAAATAATTCAAATTAGGTACAATTTGACATTATAATTCTTATTTTTCTGAATAATTTTTCTGGTTCTTAACAGGATCCGTTTTCAAATACAGCGCCACGTTAAAGTTTGCGCCAGATTGGTCCACTCGGCGATCAATACGGCATTTTCCGCGACGTAAGTCGCGTCCCTTTTGCTCATTGGTCAGAACATACGCCGCAATCCCATTATTTATTAAGTTCGCGCGATATTCGTCAGACATCATCTGTCACTGAGCGATTGTGAAATGACGAAATGTATGAAATGTGATCGACGCAGATTAATTACGATTGTATGAATCCGGAGTGTATCGCTGCTCGAACGACTGTCGCGCTTGTCTTTCTATTTTCCCCTCTTTAGCATTGTTCGTCACATATGTGAAACTGGAATTTGTATGCACCAGATGTATATAGAGTGCTTCAAAGAAATCTTATGCCCTTTTCCTATTTTATATATATATATATATATA